TTTTCACCTTACTTAGATGAAAGCAACAGCTTATTTGAATATCAAATATTATAAGAAATTAGAAGTTACGCGCAAATATAGTTGAAAGTTGTTGATAACTATTCGTGTTTACAGATGAAGCTGTTGAAGTTTGTTCGATTGGTGCACGATCATATTCCAATTGACATTTAACGGTATAATTTGGTCTTATTGGATAATCATGCCACTCGTAAACTCGTTTCCGCGCAAGTTTCTCAGCTGCTTGTCGAACAAGATAGAAATATCGAATGGTGGCACCTTCCAGCATTTCTGGAGCTTCGACAGAATTGAGCAAACTAAGTGGTTGCTTTTTTAGCTCTGTCAAAAGCTCAATTGCTGTCATATTAGAAGGAAGACCATCGATTTTGATACGGTACTGCTGATCTATGGGTCTGTTAGTTAATCAAATAAATTCAACATCTATCTCGTTAAATAATTTAAGAAAATGATTATACTATTCATTCTGAAATTGAAGGAACTTTACAATTCAAGGTGATATTCTAGAGTTAACTTTTTCATCTCAAATGCGATAATTCGATAGAAAGAATTGTTCTTTTTAGATCTATTTGTGATCAGTTTTTATAGCATTTTTTATTCAGAAGATAGAAGTATTTTCCCGTAAACTCTGATTTCGACTATTTGACGTTGAATCAGTCGAGATTGGTATCATTATCCGCGCTGGATCGAGTGTTGTTTGATTGCAGATCCAATACAGTCTGAATCAATTTCTAATTTTTGCTCCTGTGATGAGTACAGGGTCTACTTTTAGACGATCTTGAGCTGGTATTTTGAGACCGCTATGAATCGGTAAACAAACATTATCATTCAATTTAGCATAGCTGGCTAAATATCTAAAAGGTTGATTCAAGAACTCTCGAGAAAATGCTTCTGTGTCCTAAACAAAGTATGTTAACAAAGCGCATTTTATTCGAAAGGCAAGAGAGAAATTCATCCTGTCGAATGGTAGCCTTTCCAGAGAAAATCAACTGTACAACACCACCTGAAGAATGTCTTTTGAAAGCTTATCTGATTGGTCAATTGCTGATCAGTCACATTTAACATGATAGATCTGTTCTTTCAAAATCGACATGAGCAGCGATACATACCCTGCCGATCTATATCTTGGATTCGGTACAATATTTCTCTGAGTCGAATGACTAAATGGACATTGATCGTACATGCATTCATCACCGTACTTGCATGTTATGTGGCGATAGATGCAATCATTACCATGTTTACACCAACCATCACGATTGCCGGAACACAAGGTCCACTCGTTCAGTGGTTCTTCTTCAGCATTGCATTGAACATTGATTCCATCAATTGTTTTGACTGATGTAGCAAGTTGTTGAGCATCGGTCAATGTGTTTAGCTTTAAAATCCATGCCTCAAATGGATCTGTGTCTGCGTTGATGCTCTTTCGAATCAGTACATCCCATACGCGACTACCAAAAAGAACCGCTAGTTGTTCCCCACTGATGTGAGGGGGAACATTGGTCACATGAACACAAAACTTGATATCATTTGGTGCAACAATATTCTCATCTACTCAGAGAAGAATTCGTTTGCATGTCGAATAATTGAAACTCATATAAATACAATTTTCTTACATGCTTGGCGTACGTTGAAAGATCGCATTTTTTCTAATCTGACTGTAATTCCATTGATTGTATGTGTCAAAGAAGTGATGATAGCTCGATCCACTGAGTCATAGCTAAATGAGGACATGCTCAAATGTGGCTATAATTCATGTTCGTAAACTCACTCGTCAAATTCGATTGTTGCCACGTTCTCCAACGTCCAGCCGAAAGTTTTCACTGGACCATAATTTGTTTCAAAATAGCTACGTAGTTCTTTTTCATCTAATGTACAACCTGAACTACTTGGTTTAACAAAAATCAATAAACGATTTGTCCTTTCGAACAGAATTCCAGTCCGCATCCATCGCTGAACAGTTACAGGATATCCATCGATCATATAGGTTTGCCGTCGTTCATTTTCCATGCAACGTTGAACAGCTGATTGCTCAGTAAATGTGATGTGGGCAGTTTTTTGCATTCTTACTGTAAAAACCGTCTGACTTACATAAGTTTGTCGACTATTTCAACTTACCGCCGCTTGGAGTAATGTGAGGTTCCATTGCTAACTCACCGAATTGGTTCGCAAAAGCTATAATGGTCTGGCGGGTTACAGTTGCCGGAATATGTTTGATCGCTATTGAAAACTCCGATGTTTCGTTATCGTAATTAGGAGGTAGTGTACTGCCTACTATTCGGTCATATTGAAATCGCTAGTCAATATTCAAAAAAATCATACTATAATCTATTGCTTTATCTGACGTACCCTACGATTTCGCACGTGCCTGTCGACTTCTGGATACTCACACATCCTTATCCTGATCAGATTTGCGTAGTTTTTGTCACCAATGATAACTGCAGAGACGTCTGTAATAGGTTGATACACTAAATGTGAGTCAAAATTAAAATTTCATGATGTCGTTTCTGCAGTATTGTACAAAAAAGGTGTTTTCTCTCAATAGTCACGAATAACAGCCGAACACCGGCAGAACATTGATCAAAACAGGAAAAAAAACTAATTATTAGACAGTCAAGATTGTGTTTGATGTGATACAACACTTTCCTTCGAAAAGGGAGTGTATGATGACTATGGGGAAGGCGGGTGCACAGGTCTCACCCGACACTCAATCACACCTATCCACCTATAACTCTGCTGAATTTTAATATTTAAATATGTTTATGATGATAGTAA